ACTACAGTTTTATTAAATATTAATAAATCTTAATTATTAATCTCTGTGTAAAATACATCTCCTGGATTTAGAACTGGATAGGATTATAGATCAAATGTTAGTACTATATGCATTTATTAGGCTCTACAAAATAGTATTGTCTGTGTGTTTCATTAAATGTGCTGTGCTAAAACTAAATATAAACTTGGCCTCTTGTCTGCCATACTGATTTTGAGTAAACTTTGTCTGTTAAAGAATATTGCTCATTTTTAATGTGACAGCTATAAGCCTTACCATAATGAGGGATCAGCTTCATTATGCCAGAAACAACAAAATATACTCTACAAATGATACTATGATAGAGTGTAATTTGACAGGGAAATACAAGGGCATAAAGAGGTAAATAGGAAAAAATTCATAGACAAGATGATTAATATGAATACATTTATAAAAATAAGAAGCCTCTGTACATCTTTCTCCTTTTATTGACTTCATCTTTGACACTCAACCGGATGCAATGAAAGTGCAGAGCATAGCTTGCATAGAAGCTCCTTGGAAAGACACATAGCAGCTGCTCAAGGCTCCTGAGAGCTGAGCCTGCTTAGCAGCCTTCTGCTTCAGAGGCTGATGCAGCCAGTACCGCAGAGTGCTGTGCAGCCCTTCAGAAGGGCCTCAGCAGGCTGGAGAGACGGGCAGAGAGGAAATTCAGGGAAGGCAAGTGCAGGGTCTTGCACCTGGGGAGGAGTGACCCCATGCACCAGCACAGGCTGGGGACTGACCTGCTGGAAAGCAGCTGTCCAGGGAAGGACCTGGGGGTTCTGGTGGCCAGCAAACTGTCCAGGAGCCAGCAGTGTGCCCGTGCAGATGGGAAGGCCAGTGGTGTCCTGGGGTGCATTGGGAAGAGCATTGCCAGCAGGCTGAGGGAGGTGATCCTGCCCCTCTGCTCAGCCCTGGTGAGGCCACATCAGGAGTGCTGTGCCCAGCTCTGGGCTCCTCAGGGCAACAGAGACACGGAGCTCCTGGAGCAGGTCCAGTGGAGGGCAGCAAAGATGAGTAAGGGATTGGAGCATCTCTCTTGTGAGGAAAGGCTGAGGGAGCTGGGCCTGTTCAAATTCAAGAACAGATATCTAGGTGGGGACCTCATCAATATCTATGAGTATCTGCATGAAGGGATGATCTCAGAGAATGGATCCAGGATCTTCTTTGTGGTGCCAAGCAACAGGTTAAGAGGCAATGGGCAGAAACTCTTTCACAGAAAGTTCCATCTAAATATGAGAAGGAACTTTACTGTGTGGGTGACTGAACTCCGTCACAGATTGCCCAGAAAAGTTGTGGATTCTCCCTCACTGGAGATATTCAGGAACCATCTGGACACAATCCTATGTGCTCTAGAATGACCCAGCTTGAGAAGGGAAGTGAGACCGAATGACCCATTGTGGTCCTCTTCCAACTTGACCCATTCTGTGATTCTGGATGGTCAAAACTATTACAATTAGTTGTTAGGCCAATGAGTGGACACCATCAAATAGACCTTTCAGCTTGCTATCTTTACACAATTAAGTGTTTCAGGTTGAATCTGAATGTTTTTATGTTTTTATGTCTAGTAAAATCAAGTATCTACAGAATTCAAAATTGATTTGTGCTTTTGCATTACACTTTTATTTGAAAAAGCAGTCATTGTGCTGAATTTCCAGACAAGAAATCATCTTTTTCTTCTTGTGTGAATGAGTGGATTCAGCTGTAGCCTGAAGCTTCACATTTCACATTCCTTGTAAATGATTACTGCTTTAAACCATTGGTTATGGTTTATTTATAGAATAATACATAGTTCACAATTAAATGCCAAGTTATAATTGAATCAAAGAATTCTGCTGATGCCTCGGCTCACAAGGGTGCAGCTCAAGAGCTTTAGAAAGGGCAGCAGAATCTGAATCTAAATTACAGCCCCCAGTATTCAGTCTGGGATCACACACTATGATGCGTAATAGGGCTAAAAGGATTATTATAATACTGCAGTAAATAAAAAGAAAATGTATCAAACAGCAGAATTCAGGATGCTTGCAGAGGCATTCAGTTTGTGATGCGGGAGGCTAAAGATTATACTGCATAGAAATAAAGCTAGAGGAAAAGTATTTCATAAACACATTTATGTTCTTAAAAATATTCTGAAGTTATTCTTAAATAAAAGGAAAATCTATTTTTCTTAGTCAGTAAATGCATAATGCTCTGTAACATGGCTATAACTGGTTGATTCCAGGTGCCACATAGCCATTTTCTGTCATAACAGGGCAATAACTTTGCCAGAGAAAGAAAATTCACATATCTTTGATGAGTTTTTGAAAAAGTTTTCAAACATTAAAAAATTAAATTTTGCTAACTAGAATAAAAATGGTACAAAAGCTCTTACATGTCCTTCTAGTACAAATTGTCTTATCTTGAAAATGGTTTACAGATCCAATTCACAAAGGCAACACTAATTTATTTGTAGAGGAAACCTGACTTATAAGGCATTAAGTTCTTAGGCTAAAATGACTATTTTGAATACAGATACTTTGTCATTTTAGAATGTGTTTTTTAAAAAATGAATAATGATAAAACCTTTAAGCATTTTTTATACTGTCTGCTAATGTGGTTTGTCTGTTGGGCTGTAAGCAGGAAAAGCAATCAATATTTTGTTGTGTAGATATTTAATCCATCGAATGTTTACCCTGGTTCCTCACACCAGGCTGTAATTAGTCCAGCAATTCCCTAACGCGGCCATAGTAACTTTGCACAGCAGCTAATGCTCTTGTCCTGTCATATGCCTTCCTAAGTGTTTCTGCATTTTCCTCTAACCCTCTCCAGTGGAAGAGATTAAACAGTGGACTGTAGAAGCATTGGTCAGACCGCAGAATAGAATTTCTCTGTGGATTTTGGCTACAGTCCATTTCAGATCTTGTTGAAATTGCAAACATTCAATACTTTGAACTTTGTCAGATGTATATTTGTTGAACACTTCATTGGGAAAGCGTGGAAAAAGGTTGGCAATTTGTTTTCTGATAATTTTCAATCTAACATCTATATAGGTAATTGTAGATGTGCAAAGTCCTATCACACAGAGAAAACAGTGATCTTCAATGAGAAGGTCAGAAAAGTCAGCTTTTCACTGGCATTTTTTTTACTACAAAACATTTAATACCGAATTGAAATCCAGTTCTGAATAATACATAATATAGGCATTATATATTTTTCTCGGATTCCCATTGTCAAAGTACAACTGAGGCCATAGGACATTGTTTCCAAAACTACCTTTCCAACAAGGTATAGTAAGTATTTCAGAAAAACGAGAAGCCATGCAATTAAATTGCAATGTTGATCTAGAGAAAAAAACCTGATGGATCCACAGATAAAATATTTGGATGAAGAGGTGCATGATGCAAAACAAAGAGAATATAGAAACAAGCATTGCTTAAAGAATAATGGGAGAGTAAGGAATGGTAACAGTATTTCTGTTGGCTTTTCTTTACTTAACTTTAATTGTAATTCAAGTTTTACTTTTCCCTTCCAGCAATATGAAGGGAAAGAACAAAGAAATACATTCTATTTGTAAAATTTATGTTAATAAATTTGGGAAACACAATAGATTTTACCAGGTAGGGATTTATGGATGGGAGAACAAGACAGCTTACTGGAAACTCTAGACTCAAAAATACCCACAGAAAGGACAATGATGAGGTAGGACAATATTTACTATTAAAAGAGGATTAGATTTTTTACTTCTATCTCAGCAATGTTAGGAAACAGCAAGAGAGGCGGTAAGTAAAGATGAGAGACTGGGGGAAGAGCTGATTTTGGAGAAACTCAAAAATAAGGTGGGGCATGTGGTATACAAAGATTTGAGACTCTGAATTAGGGAAACATAGTGCTGGACAAATACTTGCATCAATAAAAAAATGTTATCAAAATAGGCTTTTGATGCAATATATTGGCCAAATTGTTCCTGGCTGCACTGTAATGCAGAGTTTGCATTACAGGGGACTATCTGCCACAGATGTGAATGTTGGTTTTGTTTGGTTTTGTTTATGTTGGATAGTGTGTAAAACATCTAGAAACATTTGGTAGAGAATACAAAACACAAACACAAAAGGGAAAACATTTCTAAAGATCTGCATTCACAATGAGATATTTACATTATGGATTTCCAAAAATGCTGCACTGTAGCAAGCCCCTCTGAGAACAGTTTGAAAATTTATCAGTTTCTCCAAAGTGCCTAATAGAAATCCGAGAGCTCTTGATAGCCTTCAATGAGATCTTAGCTTTTTTTTTTAATGTTATATCATTTTATGGTCTAAAGATGAAAGGACTCCCATACCAGCAATCTTTCATGCATTTCTGCAATGCATAGATTGCTATCCCAACAAGTGACCCAATTTTGAATCATTTGCCTGTGTTCACACAGGTTTAAAGACAATGAATCTTTACTAAAGTCTTTTTATGTCAACCTTATTTATCAGCGATCTCTGAAACAAGACACTAATGAAACAGGAGAGAACATATAATGGAAGTACTCTGTGTCTCTTACAGAGGTAGTAAAAGACTAAGGAGCTAAACCACAGGTAGAGCACACTTGTTAAACCTCTTAATCATGGTTTAATGGTGCATTAATCTAAATGAATCCAAACTTCTCAGTTTTATTTTGACAGATTAATCCAAGTTATTTCTTTACCAGTATCACTTCACAAATTCTGTTCCATGGAAGCTTTTTCTTTCACTCTTAATTTACAAGCAATTCTGATCTGTATTAGCTAGGTTTATTTTCAGTGTGAATGAAACTCAATATTTCAAATATTCTAAAATATTTTCAAATATTTCTAAAAAAGGAAATAAGTATTAATAGTTGAACAAGCTAAACCAAAATTACTTTAACAAAGGCAAATGCAGAACGCTTTTCATGTTTACCTTGCTGCTGGATAAACCCTCCTCACATTGTTTGTGTTATTCTGGGAAAAGCTGTAGAGCATTTCTCTGCTGGTTGAACCTACCTCCCCTTCTGTGGACTGTAAGTGCAGTTCTTTCCTACAAGTAGCCTTTAAGTCTCCTGCAGCTGCATTGACTTGCACTCCCCTGGGTGCTTCCATCACCAAAGATCTAGTAGGAGATTCAAGTCTGAAAGACAAAAACAATCACTGAGAAAAAAATACATTGAATTTAACCACCAAAAACTCCCCAGCCTCAAAACCCACGATGCAGGTATATATTAACATATTTTGAAAGGTAATAAAGGAAAACCAGATTATATGTGTGATTCTATGACTGCCTTTTATGACACAGAGGAAGAAAAATGTTAAGCATTTAAGAATATACTGATATAAACTTATCTGCTTAGTGATGCTTTCTGGGACTAGCACTTAATGCATCCAACTGTACTAATACTGAAATATATAGGTGCTTGAGAATCTGCACATCTCTGTTAATGCTTCTGTAATGACAGTTTAATACAAAAATGTTCTTAGTGACTGATGACAAATGTTTAATGAAATAAAGAGAAAACAAAATGTTTAAATGTTTTAAATGATGTGAAACTGGTTAAAATTACTTTGCCTTGACAGACTCATTCATGTTTTGGGTATGTTTAGCAGATTCATGTATGAAGAAAGGGAAAGAAAATCTGTAATGTTGCTATTTTTTGGGAGGCATTGTATGGTTTTTCTATTCTCCAAAATACTCATTATTTTCATATAACCCTGTTATAATAGGGTTAAGACACACACCACTGCTTCTTGGTACCTGCTTCTTGGTATCTTTACTCAAAGCAGTTCTTGTTCTACTGTCAGTCTTTCTGCTTCCCACTTCTCTATGCTCAAGATCCTCCATCAGCCTTAAGGCAGAGCTATGATACTTTCTTAGCTGTGCTTTCTCATAGTATTGCAGAGATTTCTCTTGAAAGGGAAGTACCAATGCAAAGATTTTGTAGAAAACATGCTCACATGCTCAGTAGGGAAAATGACAGGATGAAAACTGTACTGAACTAGAAAACAAAAATTCAGATTCTAGTTGTGTTCAGTTGTAGACTTATTGCACAGCACATAAGGGAGGGAGACAAAATTTTTTATCTGTTTATAACTTAGTAATACAATGGCAGGACACAGTTCCACTTTACCTGAACAAAGGCTTTTTGTAAGATGAAATATGTTAATGATAAAAATCTCTAGACTGAGTATCTTGAAGAAAACACTGTATTCCCCTCTTCAGCAAAGTGGTCATAGCTATCCAAAAATATAATGAGGTATTAGATGCATAATGAATTTGGTGCAGAAAAGCCATATAAAGTTTGTCAAGCAATGGAACAAGAGAATTTCAAAGTATTTCAACTGTTGCATTTTTTAAGTACAGAGAACAGCACTGGATTACCATTTTAAAACCAAAGTGCCACATTTACATGCAAAGAAAGTCACTGAGATGGTGTCTGTGAAACATTTCTGTTTGTTGCATGTCACTGACACCCAGTAGGGAAAGGAAAAAAAAAGAAAGGAAAAAAAAATAAAGAAGAAAAGAAAAGCATTTATTCAGCAAACAAAATGGAGCTATTAAAAGCAGGTGTCCAGATAGATAAAAACACAATTTGTAGATACTGATAAAAAAAAAAAATACATGGGATGCATATAGATAGGAGCAATAGAAAAATATCTACATCTGCTACTGCCTGCTAGGATGTTTTCTTTCTTTTTTTTTTTTTTTTTTTTTCTTTATGCTTTCTAGGGAGAAGTTGATAGAAGGTTCTGCAGTTCTTTGTACTGGAGAAGAATCTAAATATCATGAATTATTTAATGACATTCACAAGTGCTTCTCAGGTTCTGGTTTGTGAACTTCTGATGGCTACAGGACAGCAGAAAAAGAACTTTCAAAATATTTTATAAATTATGTAAATTATAAAGTTTAGAAATGAGGTTTCTGAAAGTACTTCATTGCCTTAATGAGGTTTTACCTTGAACTTAAAAGGAAACTGAATGGTATAAATGTAAAATGATTTTATTCTTCCATTCCATATTTTTCAGCAGCTTATCAGTGTGATTTATAATCTACTTTACAGGAATATTAACATTTATTTCTCTGTGATTTCAGATGCCATTTCAAAATCATAAAGACAAAAGTGATCTTAGCTACATTTATTGCATTGAATTAATGTGTCTTAGCCAAGCCAAAAATATTTCTGGTTTCATAACACCCAAATCCCTCAGACCTAACTAACACTTTTCAGCAGGTGGACAATTAAAATCTGTTTAGGAACATCCATCAAGAAACTATGGCTTTCTTTGAAGAATAAACTTTTGACAGTGTATAGCTTAGAGTTGTTTAGTCTAGTTTCATCACAGTTTTTCACGAAGTACATTAGAGTAAATAACTTTATGTTTGTCTAAAAAGAATATATTTGGCAGTTAATTTCTCAACTTGAAAAGTTGATAATATCAGACTTCTCCACACCACGGAGAAGAAAATTTTTAGACAATAGAGATTCATGGCAGCCTTTGGAAATCAAATAATGTGGTAGAAATGTCAAGGAATGACTAATGATCATCAAGGCAGATTTTAAAACAACACCCATCTATTAGTAAAACTGAATGCCTAAATCTGTTTTACAGTTCTTACTTTTCTTATTGTTATTCTCTGGCTGATCTGCATCTGAAAAGAGACTGCAGTATGCTACTGCAAATGAAAAAGTCTATACACATAGATTATTTCCTCAATGTTTTGAGATAAACTCATTGCAACACTCACATTGTAATGCTCATCCCTCCAAGAAAAAGTGTATCATTATAATAGCATATAGAAAATTTGCTTTCCTTTCAGATCTACTGATGGCCTGTCACAGTGGCATTTACATCTATGAGTGAATCCTATTAATAAAATTGATTTTTATTTCCCAAACAACAAACTGCTCTGATGGAGAAGGTAACTGCTGCTATTATTAGACAGAAACTACAGAACTGTAGGAAAGACAAAAAGGCTTTTTAAAAGAGTTTTTAACAAATATAATTGGTCAATTTGCTATATGTGATGAAGCAAGATGATCTATCCATGGCAGAGAAGGGCTTTTTCTTTTTAATTATCAGTGGTTAATTTGTGAAAGATGATAAATTTCATAAGATCAAAGCCATATGAATTTGAGCTGAAATAACGAAAGAACTAATGCTAAAAATGGGAAACTTTTAAAGTATCTCGAATATGTTCCTTTGAAGGTATTAAAATATTTCTCATCAGAAATGCAGAAACATTTTTTCTTCATTTTGTATTTTCTATTTACAAGCTGACCTAGATTGTATTAGAGAAAAATAATTTAAAATATGAACCAAAAGAAAAGGTTTCCTTCTGGGTTTTAAGCAATATTTTATATTTACCTCCTGCATATCCCTCATACTCACATGGGATATAATTTATCTATGTTAATTTTTTTTTTCTGTTGGCTCGTGGAAAGTATTTCTCTAAAACAGACAGAAATAGAAGATTCCCCTGTGCAGAAGCAAATAATTTATTTGCTTTCTCTCTATTTAAACCCTATATCCAACCCATGCTACTTAGTAAAACAACTGACATAAACCTCTACCAATTTAAAATTTCTATTCAAAACAGTGAACTAAAACTATGTCAGCTAGGGATCTCACACATAAAACAGGTACTCATTTCCCCTTTCCTGACATCTTTATATTTGGGGGTCAAGAAATCAATACTTCCCAGTATTTAACTTTTATACACTATGGTCTTGCCAACACATATTGTACCTTTTTTCAGTGAGCATAGGAACCCCGCTAGGAAAAAAGAAAGTTTTGCAAATATAAAAACAATGGAAAGTCTACACATTTACTTGGTAAGCCTTTTGTAGGTTTCCATAGATAACAATAATAGTACCGTTGATGTGCTACCTGTAGATCAAGAGTTGTGGCAGACTGCGACTGTGGGTCGGTAAGACACACAAAGAGGAGAAGGAAGGCAAATGGATGTGCCAAATCTCTCTCTATTCCTCCTCCTACTGTTTTATTGTAAGCAAATACCCTCAACACCAAAACCCCAGAGAATGCAGGATCTTCCTCTCCCATGAGTGAAAGGATTTTGTACCAAATTAGAATTAAGAATTTTTTTGAAAATAATTTTGAAAATGTTGTTTTTCAGAAACCTCCAACAATTTAAAATATACATTTTTTCTATTTCTGTTGTTATGAAGAGTTGGCTGTCCAGATCTTAAAAGAAAACTATTTAAAGAGTCTTCCAGTGAGACCAAGGATCCTCAAAGGAGTCCAATGAGCACTTATGGTGATAGATAAGATTAGGCTTTCCATTCAGTTAATTTCTTGGAAGTCAGGTTGCAACATAAAGAATAGCCAGTGACTTTTATGATCATGGTAACAAAAAATCTTAAAGCTTTTTATTAGGACTACTTTTTAACTATTCAAACAGTGGATTCTTGAATAGCTACATTTGACATTAGAGTGGGAATAATATGAAAGTAAAATTATTATTCAATCATTCCAACCTTATTGCTTATACTATTTACAAGATTATACATATATATATAAAAGTGACTAAAAATATTTTGATACATTTACATGTATCAAAATATGAACCTCTTCAAGATGCATATGAATCATTGCCAAAATATTTCTATTTCTCGAAGCCTGTTGTATTTTGATGCTTTTAACAAACTGCTTATATTTTCAGAATAATTTTTTATTATTATTATTGAAAAGCAGGGGTAGATTTGAAAGCCTAAACATTCTTAATATTGTTTACTGATCATCATCTTTTCTTTGTTAAGAAGCAAAATTCTCATATGTTAATGGGAAACGTATTTTTATGTACGTGAAAACCTAATCTTGGGCATGATTTGTCTCTCATTTTTTGACAACACACACAATTCTTAAGTAACAGAGTTAGATAAGTGTTTTTTTGAAATTAGTTTTTGCGTGAACCAATAAATATTAACCTTTTTTTTTCTCCCAGTTTCCAATTGTGTAACTCATGGATGATAAAATTAAACAAAGATAAAACTTACATGACTTAAATCAAAATAGTAGAATGGCATTCAGTACTGCATTTCATGTTATATCCATGCTCTGTATGTCGCTGACTTTGGCATGTGTCAGCATGCTCTTATTGTAACTTCTAAAATTTTC